ACATAGTTCATCATAACAATTGCAGTTATTTGGTTTTATGAAAATGTCCTGATCACTTGAAATGGGCGTGGCTATGTCAGACAAAGCTTTCTCATGGTAATAAATCAAAATCTACTTGGTGTGTGGCAGGATGGTGGTGTGAAGGGACACAACACAGATTGATGTAAATGGCAAATATCCGTCCACAACTTTATCAACAGACAACTGTGTTGTACTCTGTATGCATTGTAGTTTAACACCGCACTCATATCAGCAAAATATCAGCTGTATGACAGCGGTCTGTAAATAATCGAGTCTGGACCAGACAATCCAGTGCTTGATATCATGAGCATTGATCCACCCAATTGGGATACGATGACATGCATCAAGCAAGGCAGCGAGCCTGACCACCCAATCCCGTCAGTCGCCTCTTACGACAAGCGCAGTTGCCTTTTACGGCAAGCATGGGTTGCTAAAGACCTATTCTACCCCAGATCTTCATGGTTTGGTTTGTTGTTTTATGCCGCACTCAGCAATATTCCAGCTATATGACGGCGGTCTGTAAATAATCGAGTCTGGACCAGACAATCCAGTGATTAATATCATGAGCATCGATCCACGCAATTGGGATACGATGACATGCATCAAGCAAGGCAGCGAGCCTGACCACCCGATCCCGTCAGTCGCCTCTTACGACAAGCACAGTCGCCTTTTACGGCAAGCATCGGTTGCTGAAGACCTATTCTACCCCGGATCTTCACGGTTTTAGGGTATGGATTGGCACATTATAGATATGCACATTATTATTATTATTAATGCCCAGTTTTTTATGGTAATACTGACCATCACAAAATGGAAAGTGTAAGAAATTCGGAAAATTCCATCAGTATTGACCAAAACTGAATGTCATTGGTTTTAAAAATACATACAAGGCAGTGTTTACCAAATAACACTGGGAATGACCAAAATTTTTATTATTAATACCTAAATGACGTATGTTTCAATGTGTATTAGTTTTGTTGCAGTTTGTTTATTTGTTTGTCTCGGGAAACACTTATTGCATATAACAATATACTTGAGACAATCCCTGTCAGTGAGACACCCTGTACTGAGCCCTATACATGTATATGTAAGCCAAACCTTTATCTACAGCTTACTAGCCGGTAATACCAGTATGACAGGTGGGAGTGTGTCATATCCGTCGTATTGCCCAAGCCGCTATCGCTCACAATTTTTTGTTATATCATCGTTGATAATGCTATCCCATGGTCAAACCTGTCAAACTGCTTTTCATTACCTACGGAGAAACCGTATTATGTAAGCTGATTCTATAGATGTTTGCTTTATGATATGACAAGAATTAGATCCAGCTTGAAATAGTTGACTCATTTTAATTTGTCAAACATGTTTCTGGTACTTACTGCAAGCAGTATATAATTTATTACATACCTGATTGAGAAATTCCCAAATCCATAAGATAAATACTAGGCTAACATCCTGTCTCTGGAATGAACATATCTTACAGAAAAAACAAGTTGTTAAATCATCTCAATAAAAATATAATAAAACGGAGCCCAGAGATGCTCTTCAATCTAGACTTGCCAAACATTATAGACTTGCATGGGCTGTATTGGCCATATTTGTTTCAGGGTCTGTATAACAGACTAGAGAAATTGATATAATGATGGCATGTGCATAAACAAATATCAGCCATCATCACATCATTTGTGCAAATATGTAATTGGAATGCAGTTCTGACATCATCAGCATGATCAATGGTGAGTGAGTGAGTGAATTAAGTTTAACGCCGCTTTTAACAGTATTCCAGTTATATTGCGGCGTGTCAGCTTAGTGTGGGAGGAAACCCCGAAGTGATGCAGGTCTCAGACATTAACCACTTCGGTGAAAACCACGAGCAGGGGTATGGTGTTGATAAACCTAGAAATATAATCAGGTCGAACTGGGATTCGAACCCACAATCATAGGTTTCTGGCGTGCCCAAGGGACGCAACTCTGCACAGAGAATCACAGCGCCTTAGACAACTGGTATATTTTAAACAATACGTAACTACGGCAATATCAAGTTGCTAGAAACATGCCAGAAATGGGTATACACATTGTACTGATATGAGAATCGAACCGGGGCCTTCAATGTGACGCTTTAACCACTAGGCTAACCTGCTGCAGCCTTATCAAATAAACTGGATACATATTACCATGTAACAATTCTACACAAAAGCACCATCTGTGCAGTCGGGTTTGGGTGAATTAACAGCCTTCCCTTGAAACAAAGAGTCAATGAAACATTCCCACATGACGCACATTTCAACTGTAAACAGGAAAAGCTAATGCCTTAGGCAACATTTCTAAAATATTAATTCACTTACCAATAACACTGGGTAGATCTTGATTCAAAATAAGATATAACTAAATTTGTGTAGCTTGATACTTTAAATTATTATTTGGCACAAACTTCTTGTCATGGGTTGGTTTAATAGAGACAAAAACATCTACCGGTATTTCTGTTTAAAGTGCCTGATGTTTCCTACTTCCTAGCAACTCATGATTGTTGAAGGCAGCAACTATGGGGATGGGGAGGTTAGCCTAGCTGACTGTTGCATGTTATCGTATCCCATTGTAACGATTGATGCCAATCACTCGATTATATACAGACTGGAATATTAGTGAGAGTGCTGTTAAGTAAGAAACACACAAAAATATATTAGCTTCTGTGAGAGAAAACATTTCAAATGTTGTTTTGTTATATTTTACTAGCTGTATGTTGTTTTTCAAGTAAATTATTTCAGTTTTCTATATATATTTTAAATATTTTCTGTTTTCTATTTTTTAAATCTGTAAAACATAAAGTTTAGATTATGAAATCATACAACTAGCAACCAGGTGTTTAACAACCAGGTGCTGGTGAATCACACACGCAATGCCTTCATATTTATCTTTGACTCATCCGGAAAGTCCAAGATAGTACTACGTGGTTAGATGACCGTCACATGATCTAACCTGATTCAGCTCTAAAAATAGCACAGCACATTGACTCTCCTTCCTGACTCAGTTGACGAGACCGAGGTCTCCACACAATCCATCTTTGTGTATGGCTTATCAACAACGCTGTATGGTTGATAGATGTTCCCTTCAGCATAGGCAGTCATGATTGTGATCATATTGAACTGATTAAACATGATGTGATAGATAACTCTATTTGTGAAAATATTATACTTATTCAGCTTTCCAACATAAAAACATAACAAGCATATAACCAGTTATCATATATGTATATATATTTATATACAGTCATGCACTGATGAACGCTTTGAAGGAGTGAAAGTTTGCGTATAAAGAAGACTCTCCTGAAGATCGTAGTCTCTTTGTTTGTTTCTATTTAACGTATAAGCACCAAGCCATAACATATATATATATATACTACTCAACTTTTGATATATCAAAATATATAGATATATATCAAGATATTTTATAATATTTACATGTACATATCAAAAGTCATCAGTTTCTGTTTTAATGAAATAAGGGGCGGTTGGGTAGCCTTGAGGTAAAAACGTTCGCTCGTCACGCCGAAGACCATTTGATTCTCGACATGGGTACAATGTGTGAAGCCCATTTCTGGAGTCCCCCGACGTGATATTCCTGGAATATTGCTAAAAGCGGCATAAACCAAGCTCTCTCACTGACTATAATGAAATAATATCATAATCAAAAGTTAATAAAATACATATATGTATGGAAACATATCTTTCAGTTCCAAAAAAACCCAATTTTTTCGACCAGACCATGGTGATTATTTGGAAAAATGAATCCCTCATGCTTTTGTTAAACCTGGTAAGAACACTAAATTCAATCATTTCTGATGCATCTTTCTGTTTTAGTTTAACAGGATATCACACAATCCTGATTCCACTGTCACAATGATCTATCCCCATGACACACATCATTAGAGTAGATAGGTCTTCAGCAACCAATGCTTGTTGTAAAAGGCGACTATGCTTGTCGTAAGAGGCGACTAACGGGATCAGGTGGTCAGGCTCGCTGACTTGCTTGATGCATGTCATTGTATCCCAATTGTGTGGATCGATGCTCATAATGTCAATCTCTGGACTGCCTGGTCCAGACTCGATTATTTACAGACCGCTGTCATATAGCCGGAATATTGCTGAGTGCGGTGTTCAACAAGAAACATACATACATATACATCATTAGAACTGCAATAACGTCTTCCTAAGTTTGTAAATAAGATTTATATTCTGAACTGATGATCTGATATAGTACAGTGATAATGTCCTTTTATTTTCCTGTATATTTGTTGAATATACCGTATTCGACGTAATAAGCGCCCCGCTCTAATAAGCGCCCACGGCGACATTTGCTAAGATATTGGCTATTGAACAATCCCAATCAGCACCCCTTCCGAGTGATCAATGTACACAAGACTTATTTATTCGCTTATATTATGCACTTGTGTGTTTTATTGCACCCTTAATTATGGGCATTTAATTCCGGAAAAATATATCTGTCGTACATAAACATTTCAGGCTGTCAGCATAAACCACAACATTTATCGTTAATTCTGTTTTTTCCACCAAAATAACATTCTAATAAGAGCCCCCTATTTCTAATTTTGAGAGCGCCCTGGGCGCTTATTACGTCGAATACGGTATGCTTACAATGAACTCTGGTTATAACGAATTAAAATTAGTGGTCCATTTGAGTTTGTTATAGCCATAGTTTACTGTACAATAATAAGTTCATACTGGCCTAAGTATGAAGAACTAAGAACATTTTCAGCACTGACAGTCAGCTGTTGTCCATTGTTGGTGTAGCTGTTGTGTACATCAAGCAAACACACATGTCTACTAATAACAACAAACAAACAACAGTTCCCACATATCACACACTGTAGCAATCACAGATCACATATTCCCTGACAGACACAGATCACACATTCCAATATTCGACACCTGTCCAAATATACAGCAAACTACAGTACTTACTTCACCGATTATCCTCCAAGTATCAACAAACCGACATGAAGACCACAACACTCCCTCTACACCACTGTGTCAGCTGACTCACACACCACTTGACATGGACGTCACTCAACCACAACCGTTGCAGACAGCATCGTGTGTACATATGTACCCTGTACACTGTACAGACCCAGCTGACCACCAGTGACAGTTATGTCTGATCCGTGTGGCCAACTCTTGACCTGACAGCTGACATTCTTCACCGGCTATGTCCACGCTCTGATTCCCCTAGCCTGGGGTATTACATCCGCCTGCACCTACAGTACTCTTAACCTTCAGTACAATCCATGTCAGGTTACTAGCGCAGGCAGGCTACTAGCATAGGGGCTACTGGTATTCGTGTGCTACTGGTATATGTAGGCTACTGGTATATGTGGGCTACTAGCCTAAGGACTACTAGAAGTTAACTATTTCTGGTAGTCTGCATTGAGATTTACCTGTCACTATTTTAACCAGGATGTGTCGAACAGGATGCATCAAATTCCTTGTTGTTTATCAATTTATAGTCCAAAAGCATGTTTTCCGCCAGCTCGGCATAAACAGATAATTTCCAAATCTTTTCATGTTTTTAATCAAGGTGCTCACGTGATTCATTGTACTTCACAAAGCAAGATCGTTTTATTACAAAATAGATTTTGATTTTGAAAATCAGGACGTTTTGACTGGGGGCTGCCATTTTTTTCGAAGCAAATGCAAGTGATATGAGAGGTGGAATCTGATTGGTCAATAGGAGGGTCATAGACGGAACATAACTCGTAATCACCAGTGGTGACGTTATGATCAAGCCCAGAAATTTCAGCCTAGTTTGGCAAGGGTGGAAACTGGACTTTTTTAAAGTCAGATAACTCCCTTGCCTCCGGAAGATGGCCCTGATAAGTCAAATTCAAATTTTATTTAAAACATAATCATCTATGCATAAAAGTAGATATGACAATTGCTCTGTTTATATTTCTTTGTATAACATTATGTTATGACACCTCCTCAAAGTAGGGGCGGTCGGGTAGCCTAGTGGTTAAAGTGTTCGCTCATCATGTCGAAGAGCCGGGTTTGATTTCCGACATGGGTACAATGTGTGAACCATATTTCTGGTGTGCCCTGCCGAGATATTTGCTGGAATATTGCTAAAAGTAGCGTAAAACCAAACTCACTCACTCACTCACTCACTCACTCACTCACTCACTCACTCACTCACTCCTCAGAGTAGATCATGTTTTAACAGGTAAGTGAATGAGTGAATTGTGTTTTATGTTGCTTTGAATTTAATTTTCAGTTATAATTCTACAGTGATGCAAGTTCAGGAGGCCTACCATGTTGGGGAAACACATGAGCATGGGTGTTATGCGTACTGGCAAATCAATGATCATAATCTTGGACTTGAGCCCACAATCATGGGATCGTGACAGCCTAGGGGATGCAGCTCTGTGCGGTGAATTGCAGTGCCACTGTGATACCAGAGCTCCAGATAACTCTTTGAGCAATTGAGTTTTTACTCTTGGGTTTCTATTTTAACTGGGTTATTACATTTTTCATTGGGTAACCAATATTTGTTCACTCATCTTTTCATCACTCTATTGGATTTTCCCCAAAATTAGTGAACATTTTAAGATTTAAAAAAATGAAATAATGTTTTAGCTTATAAATAATAGCTCGTAATTGTGTTTCATAAATTAGCTCCTTTGTACGCATGCTGAAAAAACTTCATTGGGTATTTACGTGTTCTGTTTTAATGCATTTGAGTTTTTCATTTAATGCATGCGTTTCTGTACGCAAGTTGATTGAAAGTAATTGGGTTTTTAATATTTTTTACACAAATACACTGCTTATCTGTAGCTCTGGATACCATTAAAAGGTGAAGTGGAATAATTTTATCAGACATGAACCACTTCGTCATGACCTCCCAGCTCCTGAAACCCCCACACCTGTTTGGTTACAGGAGGGAATGAATAAAGTGGACACTTGTTAAAGTGGACATCTGTGGACACTTTGAATGGAAACAGTAATGGGTAAACAAGTCCAGTTTTCTTAGTTTAATAATAACACTTTCTTTTTCACTTTCACTTTTTCTGTTATATTATAGCGTTGCTAGGCAATAATTTTAAGAGAAGTCATCTGAACTGTGCAACTTGTGTCATATCTTTAAAACACATCTGTGACACCATTCTATTGTCTAAACGCTCCATTATTTTTCTGGAATGGAGCGTTAAATTGCTTGTCAATTATACATTATCTTGAACAAACATTTCAATTAAATTACACTTGGAATAGCCAGAAGTAGTTTTGTTGTATTTTGACAAGTGTATGATTACATTTTGTTCATGTCGCCTGTGGGGCCTCAGCTTCATTATTATCAAGGAATGGAGAGTTACTTGGACATTCCCCTCTACATCAAATTACTGGGACTTCCCAGATCAAAGTTCACAAACAGATGTATATAAAATGTTTATCCTACACATTTTGGTGAAATATGACCTTTATCCTTCATACTACAGTGATATATTACTTTTATCCAACACATTCCAAAGATATATTACTTTTACCTTACCCAAACTAGTGATATATTACTTTTATCCAAGACACTCCAAAGATATATTACTTTTATCCAACACACTCCAAAAGATATATTACTTTTATCCAACACACTCCAAAGATATATTCCTTTTATCCTACACAAACTAGCGATATATTACCTTTATCCAACACACGTACTCCAAAGATATATTACTTTTATCCAACCCTCTCCAATAATATATTGCTTTTATCCTACACAGTCTGGTGATATATTACTTTTATCCAACACACTCCAAAGATATATTTCTTTTATCCTACACAAACTAGTGATATATTACCTTTATCCAACACACTCCATTGATATATTACTTTCATCCAACACACTCCAAAGATATATTACTTTTATCCAACCCTCTCCAATAATATATTACTTTTATCCAACACACTCCAAAGATAAATAACTTTTATCCAACCCTCTCCAATAATATGTTACTTTCATCCAACACACTCCAAAGATAAATAACTTTTATCCAACCCTCTCCAATAATATATTACTTTTATCCAACATACTCCAAAGATATATTACTTTTATCCTACACAGTCTGGTGATATATTACTTTTACCCAACACACTCCAAAGATATATTACTTTTATCCTACACACTCCAAAGATATATTACCTTTATCCTACGATACTCCAATGATATAATACTTTTCTCCAACACGCTCTAGTCGTGTTTATCCAGTGCTGTATCATGTTTATCCTACCCCCTACTGTTAGTCCTCAGGAATTGGTTAGGTCACAGAGACATCCGTCATAAATGTGACACACAGTGACCTCAGCAGCCATGACCATGCTCGGTGGCAACTCTTGACCTACTGATCTCCTGCAACTACTGAAGTCAACAACAATATGGTGACTGCCCTGATCTGCTCCGCTGCTATCTCTGTACACCTTTCACAGGCAGCTGTTTCCTATGCGAATGTTATGATTATCCTGGAATAACTGGGTTGTGTTATTATATATGTTTACACAGCAAAACACACATAAATCCACAGATTAGCCAGGCTTAGGCTTTCTTCCCATCCCAGTCAGGCTTTCCCCCCACCCAGTTAGGCTTTCCTCCCACCCAGTTAGGCTTTCCTCCCACCCCAGTTAGGCTTTCCTCCCACCCAGTTAGGCTTTCCTCCCACCCAGTTAGGTTTTCCTCCAACCCCAGTCAGGCTTTCCTCCCACCCAGTTAGGTTTTCCTCCAACCCCAGTCAGGCTTTCCTTCCACCCCAGTTAGGCTTTCCTTCCGACCCAGTTAGGCTTTCCTCCCACCCCAGTTAAGCTTTCCTTCCACCCCAGTCAGGCTTTCCTTCCACCCCAGTTAGGCTTTCCTTCCATCCCAGTTAGGCTTTCCTCCCACCCAGTTAGGCTTTCCTCCCACCCCAGTTAAGCTTTCCTTCCACCCCAGTCAGGCTTTCCTTCCACCCCAGTTAAGCTTTCCTTCCACCCCAGTCAGGCTTTCCTTCCACCCCAGTTAGGCTTTCCTTCCGACCCAGTTAGGCTTTCCTCCCACCCAGTTAGGCTTTCCTCCCACCCCAGTTAAGCTTTCCTTCCACCCCAGTCAGGCTTTCCTTCCACCCAGTTAGGCTTTCCTTCCGACCCAGTTAGGCTTTCCTTCCACCCCAGTTAGGCTTTCCTTCCGACCCAGTTAGGCTTTCCTCCCACCCCAGTTAAGCTTTCCTCCCACCCAGTTAGGCTTTCCTCCCGCCCAGTCAGGCTTTCCTTCCACCCCAGTTAAGCTTTCCTTCCACCCCAGTCAGGCTTTCCTTCGACCCCAGTTAGGCTTTCCTTCCGACCCAGTTAGGCTTTCCTCCCACCCAGTTAGGCTTTCCTCCCACCCCAGTTAAGCTTTCCTTCCACCCCAGTCAGGCTTTCCTTCCACCCCAGTTAGGCTTTCCTTCCATCCCAGTTAGGCTTTCCTCCCACCCAGTTAGGCTTTCCTCCCACCCCAGTTAAGCTTTCCTCCCACCCCAGTCAAGCTTTCCTTCCACCCCAGTTAGGCTTTCCTTCCGACCCAGTTAAGCTTTCCTTCCACCCCAGTCAGGCTTTCCTTCCATCCCAGTTAGGCTTTCCTCCCACCCAGTTAGGCTTTCCTCCCACCCCAGTTAGGCTTTCCTCCCACCCAGTCAGGCTTTCCTCCCACCCCAGTTAGGCTTTCCTCCCACCCAGTTAGGCTTTCCTCCCACCCCAGTTAGGCTTTCCTTCCACCCCAGTCAGGCTTTCCTTCCACCCCAGTTAGGCTTTCCTTCCGACCCAGTTAAGCTTTCCTTCCACCCAGTCAGGCTTTCCTTCCATCCCAGTTAGGCTTTCCTCCCACCCAGTTAGGCTTTCCTTCCATCCCAGTTAGGCTTTCCTCCCACCCCAGTTAGGCTTTCCTCCCACCCCAGTTAGGCTTTCCTCCCACCCCAGTTAGGCTTTCCTCCCACCCAGTTAGGCTTTCCTCCCACCCAGTTTGGCTTTCCTTCCACCCCAGTTAGGCTTTCCTCCCACCCAGTTAGGCTTTCCTCCCACCCCAGTTAGGCTTTCCTCCTACCCATGTTAGGCTTTCCTTCCACCCCAGTTAGGCTTTCCTCCCACCCAGTTTGGCTTTCCTCCCACCCAGTTAGGCTTTCCTTCCATCCCAGTTAGGCT